AGTATGGTTAAGAATGTACTCAGTTTGGATATGAAACCTGAATTTTTTATCCTATCCAAATTCGGGCCAAAATTTGGATCCGGATCCAAATTTTGGATATGATTAGTAATTCATATCTGATCTGGATACAACTGGATCCAATCCAGATCCGATCCAGTTATTAAAATATTATATATTATTTTATTATACATATATGTTATGTAATATTTTTTTGTTATACTATTTTATAGATTTAAATATAAAAATAATTTTTTAGATTTGATCAGGTCTGAATCTGGATCTAAATCTCATATATATTTTTTGATCCAAATCCAGATCCCGATGGATCCAGACCCGATCCGACCCATTCTCAGCTCTAAGAAGGAGGTCTTGTAACTTGTCTACGTATTCAGTTTAGATTGAAGGAGAGGGTGATTGTGCTGCCTCAACAAGGAAATATCCTTACGTGTTTGATTATTATTGTGAACGATTCTAAATGAGAAACTTCCTTTAAGCCCATGAAATACGTAGGGGTGGCTATGGGTTGGGTAGAGTGCTAACCAGTCTCAAGCCTAGCTATAAAAAATTAGGGCCCGGGCCACAAAAATGTAGCCCAGGGGCGGGGGCGACCACTGCCCAGTGTATTCCCTCATTGTTTTTAAATTTTTTTATTTGTTGATTTTATTTGCCTGGGCCCTAATAGGGCCAAGGCCTCTTTGCTCTGGTCAGGGTTGGCCGGGCTTGGGTTGGCACTATGGGGACTAGGGTCAGGTTTGGCTTGTTGCTAATCCTAGAAATATGTACCCATTGTCTAACAAAGAAAATAAATACTAGGGTTGGTAATGAGGTCGGGTTGACCCAAACCGTGTTTTGGAGTTGGGTCGAGTTTTGGACGCGGTGAGTCAGGTCCAGGTCTTGGTCGGGCTGGGACCCTATCGGTTCTGGTCGGGTTATATTTTATTTTTTATTTATGGACTTGGACCCAACCCAACCCAACCCACTTGAGTCTGGGTCTGGGTCCGGGTCCAAGTAAAACCTAGTCGTGTGGGGTACTGTCGGATCTTGGGGTCGACTGGACCCGACCTGACCTTGTTGCCTATTAGTGTTTTTTTTTTTTTAATTATTTGTTGTTTCAAAACAATACTTTTAAAGGACCATAGCATTCTAGGTGGTACTTAGGGACCACGCAGTAATCCTTCATCTTTTAAGTCGGTTGGACGTCTTTCTTTCCTCTCACCGTTTTCATGCTTTGGGTGACCCTTACTTACATGAGTAAGCCTCTTGGACACATTTGCCGCTTGTGATGTGTCCATTTCTCATGTATGTATCTCTCATGTGATGATGTGGAGGATCATCGACACGGCCCAATTGTTATAAGACGTAGGCTTTACAAAAATAAAGCAAAGCCTCATCTTGTATCCTCATTGGAAGAGCAGGTTCTAAAATCAATTTTCAACATTGCAATGGAATTTGAAACTACAAAAATAGTACAGTTATTGCATATGCGTGAACGTTTATTTTTTTAAAGCGAAAGGAACGGTCTAGATAATGGTTATAAGATAAACAATTTTCAGAGCTTAAAATCTTAATTTTTTTTATAACCATAATGGTCAAGGCCGATTGATCTGATCGGTTTCTACGTCAAAACTACAAATTCCAATGAGTTTTTAAGTGAGGGTTTACTTATTTTTTATAAGGCTGTAGCCCTATCAAAGCATTTTTCTTCTTTATAAGTTCTTCTCAAATCTCAATCGAATAGTAGAACCAGACCTTTATATCTCTCCAAGTTCATTTGATGTTTGTATGCCTACCATGATGCCAAGCCTTTATGTTGAATGTCATGTTGTGATGACATTCGTTTTGCCCACTGAATCCTACTGCTCCAACGATTGAGGCTCTTCTATTGTGATGCAGTGAGTCTATGTGAATGTGCAGAGGTTCTTTGGCCTCATTAAAACCTTGGTTTTATGATATAGCTTGTTGCAGTTGACAGTTGCAAGGTTTTGGTTGATAGTTAAGAATATATCACCGAATTTATGTTATAATTTTAACGAGTATTTGAGTGTGCAACTCGAGACACAGGAAACGATTTTGATTCAGCTGTAACCAGGAGGTGTGTTCACACCATCCTATTGCATCTTGGAATGGTACTAGATCCCTGACATCATTTGTCACTTTGTTTATCATTTGAAACCTGTTTTAATTTCTACGGGAATTTAACTGATATTAAGAGCGTTTCTATTGTCAGATATAACATATGAAACATTATCTATTTTTTACGAGAATTTGACTGGTATTAGGAGTATTTCGATATTTTTCTTCTGACACGAATCATAGATAAGGGAGGTGCTGCCAAATGTCTGGGAATAGGGTGACAGTTTTTTATGTAACAATTTAACCTTGACCACCCCATTAAATGCTTATTCAAAGGTTTTCTTGTATTATAATAATATGAAAGTAGGACAATGTGATCTAGCCACGTATATATAGTTAACATTTTTACTTCTTTCTTTTATTTGTACAACTAGAACACTTACAGATGTCCTAAGTTACAATTTTATTTATAAAATATATCTTAATACAATCTAGGATATTCTATTACATACTTTTGCAATTCTTTACAATTAAATAAAAATACAATGAATGAAGAATCAAGAAACATGAAGCCATTAGAATTACCAAATACCTTGTCTCAGGTTATCCCCAAGGATTTCGAACACACTACACGGGATATTCGCCACAATGGTACTCGGGATCTTGGTCCTAATCCGATTTCATAATTCGAAAAATCTAGACAAAGCCTCTTGAGAACAAGACATGGGATGGACACATTCTCATAACACAAGACAATAACACAAATACCATCTAGTCTAGGGCATGTCACCCTCTAGTGGCTTGGGCGTGCCCCTTAAGATTTACTTTAGGCTCAAAGCAACTCAAATCCCTAACTAGAAGAGAGAAATAAAAGAGATTGCAGGGGCATACCTGCCAATGGGAGAGAGAGGCGAATCCAATTCTATAAGTATAAATAATACACCCTCATAAATAATATTTATAGACATGATGCTAGGGTTTTGGGGTCTATGAATTTACCATCATTATGAGACTTAAATTTAGCCATAGATCTTGGAGACATGTGAGGTGAAGAGATTTTAGCATTTCATTCTTTAGATCAGCCATCATGATTAAAGGAATGAGCTAAAACCATTATCCATCAATTTCAATAACTCTATTGCCATCAATATTTATATAGAGACAATACTATGTATTTACAAATCTAATTTTAATCGATCTCTACACCATATTTTAAATCAATCAACCTTATTTCATGAAGCTTTCTTTTTATTTATAAAACAAGTAGGTGGCTTCCATCGCAAGCCACACACTAAAAAGAAAGAATGGAAAACGTGGGGCGTACCACACATAGTGAGATATGTGTGGGCTCCATGCCCCCACCTAATGGGCTTAAATGTGGTGGGCCCAAAGTTCTAAAGTGCCCTCACACCCCAAAAAGAAGTTTAGATAAATAAAAATAATCTTAAAAAAGCAATAAATATTTTTTTCTCTCTGAATTGAATGAATTCATAAAATTAATTTTTTTCTTATTTAAATCCATTTTCACTATAATAAAATATATAGAAAGATCTAAAAAATGTATTTTAATTGTCTAAAATATTAATAAACATATTTAAGAAGATTTGATAAGAATTAGACCCAAAGATTTAGGAGTATCACAAATATATGGAGGACTCTATCCCTTCTAAAAACTGTATCTCGTTGTCAACTTCTCAAACTGATCAACATTTCCCAAGACCTACAGCGTTAAATTATGAAATGAAGGAGGCACGATCCTAGCTCATATATTACAGGTTCCGCCTTGAGGATAACTCCAGTCCCCATTCCAGCACAATACCTCATGGGTCCTTCGCCTTGAGGACAACTCCAGGCCTCATTCCAGCCCAATACCTCCTTCTGACACAGTCCAAAGGAGGCATCTCTTCAGCACATGTTAATGAGACATACCCTCACTTAGAGAGCTGCTTCCTGGACTGCTATCTAGTGTACATGTCGTGTAATAATAATGATGATGATTTAGCCCTTATCTTCTCTGGCCAACCACCAGACACATAGGTTACACCCATTCTCTTGGTCAACCACCCCAAGCACAATTTTGACTTCATAAAAAGCGACCCCACATTGAAACCCTTATCAGTTGTGCACAAATGCCTAGGGCTACGGATTTCTAAACATCACCTTTGGAGGGCATAGCAAGTCAAAACTCAGGTAAATCAAGCTTCACAGTGCCACACAGTCCATATGGATTTGGATTAGGCTCCCACTGGACGTATTAGATAATTGTGGGCATGGTTTTAGATTACTTTCGTAAGGACATTTAATTGGTGACAGCTTCACAATGCCACACAGTCCATATGGATTTGGATTAGGCTCCGACTGGATGTATTAGATAATTGTGGGCATGGTTTTAGATTACTTTCGTAAGGACATTTAATTGGTGACCCCAACAAAAAGAAGATCCTCATCCTATCGATTTTGAAGAAGGAATGCAAGGCCTGCTTTTAGTTAGAGCGAAAAAGGCGTAAAATGAGGAAGGAGAAATGGTGTGTGAAAGCAATGAGAGGAGTCGTCGTTGAAGCAAAATGATTGGTGGTTGTATTCTCTCTCTCTCTCTCCCCCATGTTTATGAATATGCCAAAAAGTGGAAAATAAAAGGAGGGGGACAGACAAGGGACATGCAAAATGAGGTATCCTTCCCAAAGCCACAGACATGTCACAAAACGCTTCTCGCACTTTTACTTTTTCTAGTAGTAAATCATTCTCCTCTCCTCTCCTCTCCTCTCCAATGGTTAACCTCTCTCCTATTTAAACCACCTCATCCTCTTGTCCCACTTCATTTCAAACTCTCTCTTCCCCCTTCCTTCTGCAACACCTCCTCATCTCTCTACTTGCTGCACTAGTTAATCTCCTTCTATCTCTCTTTCTTTTTCTTTTTCTTTCGGATCATGCCGTTGCAGAGGGCTAAACTAGTAGGGGCCTTGAAGAGATGGAATTTGAAGTCCCCCAGATCACCCAGGGAGAGAATCAATTGGGAGTCGGGGATGGTCTTGCCGGATGCTGTTTCGGACTTCCAAGTTGGCTCCGACGATGCCAAAGAATTCCCTACCGATGTCCACAAAGGATTCATAGCTGTCTATGTTGGACAAGAGCTCCGGAGATACGTAATCCCTGTCTCGTATCTCAACCATTCGGTGTTCATGGCACTCTTACAGAAGGCAGAGGAAGAGTTTGGCTTCACCAACAATGGAGGTATCAAGTTGCCATGTGAGGTTGCTGTCTTTGAGCACATCCTTTGGCTTCTTAAAAACCAATGATCCCCTTTCTCCATGGCATGGAAATGGAAGAATTGTTACGAGCTTTTGGGATCACTACTAATACTTTCTTCCCCACTCCCTCTCTCTCTCTTCTTTTTATCCATTATTGGACTTGTGACAATTTCTGGTACCCTATATTTTTTGACATTGACATTAGCCTTGTGCATTCCTTTCTGCTGCTCTTTGGTAACAATACTGAACGATAATAAAAAAGATTTCTCCAATTTGTTTACCAACACATTGAAATTCCACCCTCCCTTTCTACAAGGGACACATTTTCTTTTGTAATGGTAAGAAAACCTAGTAAATGTGGGGAATCTATATTGCAAGATCATTTACTTTTAGTACAAGGTCACAATTGCATTAGATTCTATCTCGACCTATGGTTCGACAAAACAAAATTTGAGCTACAAGAGCAATAAGTGGTCCGACGCAGCCAACTAATTCAGTACCTAATGGTCAAAAGTGATTGCGATTTTCCGAATACCTTTGGCCTCTTAATTTTTCATCTCATGATTATTAGCGTGATGATTAAGGGTGATTGGGATCTTTTTTTTTTTTTTAAAAAAATACATATCTTATTATACTTTCCGATAAATTTATTTGACCAGAAAAACAATCCCACAATTTATTTAGCTTAAATTGGATTTAATTCTAATTAAAAGAAAAGGAATATCTAATATGGCCCTTTTGGAGAAATTTGAGCAGTTTAAATGATCATTTCAAAAGGGCTAACTATACTTACCAACCCATTATTGGTTCTTTTTCATTTTTTGGGTGGGAAAGCTGGAACCTTAGGGTCCTTTGCCTAATTTCTTAACTGTATGTCATTTATATTCATTTGAGCCACATGGTCGCCTCATATGAGAAGAGGCACATGATTTACACTAGGCCAATGGAGTTCTAAATCTCTCTCTCCCCTATGCATGAGAAGGTGAGTGTTAATTTTGTGTCATATTTTCTTTCTTTATGGTCCAGTGATGGGAATTGACTATGAGATGCAGCAACGTGAATGTTAACTACTCACAACTGGGAAAGGTTTCAAGGCTAGGTGGTCAGGTGGCAGGGTGCCAAAAAAGTTCAGGGATCTGACTCCATTAGGGGTGGCAATCGACCCGACTAACCTTAGGACTCGAGAAGTATATTTGGGATCCGACAAGTAAACCCAATCTCCGGTCTGGGTATGGGTCCAGCCGGACCCCACCCATACTTTTAGTTATAGGGTACATGATGGCAATCATGTGTCTTTAGGCACACATTAAGTGTTTGTATTGTCACAATATTGATAACATTTACTATATTATTAGTAAAAAGAAAACTCATAGTCTTAAGATACATGATGGTAAAAAACAACGATAATAATAATAATAATAATAATAAAAATAATAATAATAATAATAATAATAATAATAATAATAATAATAATAATAATAATAATAATAATAATAATAATAATAATAATAATAATAATAATAATAATAAGCTCATAATCATAAGGTGACAATGGATCCAGCCAAACCCAAGATCCGATAGATCCTGATACGGGTCCAAATTTTAGACCTGGGTGCTAGGCGGTCAAGTGGCAGGGTGCCAAACTTTTATGTCAGGCATTTTTTTTTTCTATGAGAGAGAGAGAAGTTCTTTCTTAGAGAGAGAAAGATGCTAAAATTGGAAGGAGATTATTGTGAGGATGGGAAATTGAGTGAGAAAAGCGGGGTACCAAGAGAATGTAGGGCTGGGGCCACAGAGTGTGGGCTCCACATGTACGATGCATCGGCCACACCATGAGAGAAATGTTTTCCTAAATTTAATTTGATCACAGTGTTGAAATTCTTTTTGGAAATGGAGCATGGAGATTGCTCCTGCGGGAGCACACTATACAACAACTTTCTCGGGCAACATAACCATTTCGGATGATTCTTTTGAGTCAGAGTTTTAAAATCTATTTAGGCATCTATAGATGATTATTATCAAAAAAAATATCTGGATTTTAACATTTTGAACATCTAGATGTTTTCTTCCAAATATTGGATGATTCCTATTCAAACTTGGTGTGTGACATGTTTTCTATAGGTAAAGAATGAGATTTTTTTTTATATTTTTTTTGTTTCTATGTGGTTCTAATTCTAAAAATTACATTACCAAAATTTGGGATATGAAAAATGCTACTATCATTAGTTTGGCCTGAGTGAGTATATAGATAGTATAGCAGATATTTTGGAAATTCACTTTTACCTTATTATTGTGGACCTACAATATCTTTCCTAATCTCTACAAAGAGGGTAAGAGGATGTGATGAACGTGTAGAATTCTGTACTATAAGATCATTTACTTTTAACATAAGGAGATCACAATCATTATTGACTGTTAGACTTGAAATCAGATACTTGATGATATGTCATTGTTTGAGTACAAAACCCAAAATAAACTTTCTTGAATGTTGTAACACACTTTCATCTATTGGAATTCACATATCAATGACTAAAAATGATTGTAACTTCTTTGTACCAAAATAAATGGTCTCATAGTGTACCATCCCAATGGATAATGGGAAACTATATAAAAGAATAATAAAGGGGGCCCTAAACTAGCTATTGTTGATGCGTAGCTATGTTGTTATAGTCACACACATACAATCATGATTGTATTTATATTTGAATTTTAATATCTTTTATACAAATTTAAATCACTTAAAATTTAAAAGGTAAATTCTTCTCATTATGGTGCACCTAATAAAATTATAAAAATAATAATTTATAAAGATTTGTATTACATGCCTCTATTTTTCAAAAGTAGACACTCAAAATTTCAAGTAATCTTGATTGTATAAAAAAACTAAAATTCAAAGATAAAACACAACCATGGCCATTCCATCAGCCCAGATTGAATATAGGCCATTGGGTGTATATTATTGCATCAGCCTTTGGGTACACGCACACACATACACATATGCTATATTGATTTTTAGCATGTTAAAGATTATATATTCTCTAAAAATTAGGATCAAAATATATTTATTGTGAAGCCCGCATAAAAATCATGTCCATCTCTAAATTCATGTATTTCCCCATCTCTCTACCCCTTTTACTCTGATTTCCATGGACTAAACTCTCTCTATCTATGTCTACCTTTTCACCAATCTCTACGCAAGGCCGATAAAGCTCAATTGATATTGCTGAGAGAGAGAGAGAGAGCACATTAGCTATGTCAAGAGAAAAGTGCGTGAAGAAACCTTCTCTCAAGTGTCAAATTTCAGTTATATATACTGGGGATGCATTTTTGGCTCCGGTTTGGGAATTTCTCATGCTATTAGTGGGAAAATATGTCATTTTTTTATTTATATCACAGTTTCTTTTCTATGAAGAGCCATTGACAACCTTCGACAAAGGGAGCAGTCACCTGTTGCCCTGGCAACCTTCAACAAAGAGAGCAGTCACCTGTTGCCCTGGTGAACACAGGGAGAGAGAGAGGTTGGAAACATGGAGAAAGAGGGGCTCGGGGAAAGGTGGGGAGAGCGAGAGTGGGGTAATGCGAAGAGAGAAATGGGGTTTGGGGGAATTGACATGTCAACGGATGGGTTAAAAAGAGTTGTTTTTCTACCATTTGTTTGGGTTAAAAAAAAATTAAAATGGGTAAAAGTAGTGCAGGAGGTTAGAAGATATAAAAAACTAAGAACCTTATGCTTCAAGTTATATTTTGAAACCTTGAGTCTCTAAAGATATGAAACTTAAAAATAGGCGATGCAGAGATATTTTCCCTTAAAAATTAGCTCAGGCTAGAGATGAAATGAAAGAACACTAATCCAATGTTTTGAGATTAGGCCGAGACCACTTGGACTTATCGCCCACGTCGAGTTTTGGTGAGTAGGCTGTACAGCATATTTGTAAAGTTTATTTATATTAATACATCAAATATCATGATGAGTAGATTGTACAACATATTTGTAAAGTTTAATTTGTCAAATTTCAGCTATATATACTTGAATGGTTCCATGGTTAGTCCTAATGCATATGTTTTATGCGATGGGAGTACCAAAAAATGTTCCAAATATATCAGTGTAGCCCCTGCAAGAATGTATTCATTTTTTTAAAAAAAAATTGAGTTGGACTCGGAAGAGTTACTCGGACTCGCCCGTGTAACTCGCCTCGAGGTGGATGCAAGAGAGCCCCGCAATAAGCATCCTCTTCATCTCTCGCCGTCGGAATGCTCCCCGCAAGCTCCCATCAGCAGCATCCAGCTGCCTGTCCCGATCGCCATCACAATGGCAACGATCCTTGCCACCGGCAATCCTAATGCGATGCTTCCAGCCATGCTCGAAATAACCACCATGCGTCGGGATAATTTTGGAAAGCACCGCATGCTAGTGATGCACAAAGATGGGGAATCATAGTATTTGGTGTCCTCTTCTTTTGCTGTGGTAGCAGCAGAGGAGTAGAGAAGAGGAACCATTTCCAATAGTATAATATATTATACTACATTATTAAGTTAGAATTAAAGGGGGACATGTGTCACAAAAATAAAAAAGAATCTTAATATTATAGAGATTGTATAATATATTCTCCATTTTAAGGGGAAAGAGAGAGATATGTATCCCTTTTTAACGAGAGATAGGAAAAGGTGCATACGACCCATTTTTAGTGGAGAGAGAAAGAAACTTTTAAAATTAAAAAAAAAGAAGCGAATTTCCATGGGAGAAAGATGAAAAGAGAGATGTGAGACGGATATATGAAAAGAAAATTGAGTAGGAGATTTTTAGAAGAGCACTTTTGGAGAGAGAGATGGAAAGATATAATCATGGATGAGAGATACGAGAGAGAGAAGATTAAGGAGTCTGAGATTTTTTAGAAGAAAACTTTTTATGGATAGAGAGATGATCAATTCCCTTTTCAACATTAAAGAAACGTAGCTAAAAGATATAAAAAATATACAGTCATTTGGTGTGTGAAGCATTAAAGAAACGTAGCTAAAAGATACAAAAAATAGACAGTCATTTGGTGCGT